ACTGCCCACAGACTCCTGAGCTCCAGAGTTGCAAGAGAACAAAGGTTTGTGGGTTGGTGACTTGGCATCTGTTGTGTCTCCTGACAGCATCTTCGGGAAACCACAAGACATCTTAGCAAGCATCAGACTACCTGGGGGCGGTGGGGAGGGCAGCGCTCGCCCCAGTCTGGGGTTTGCCAAATCCTGGCCCATCCCTCTCCAGGAAGAAACCAGAGGAGGTAGAAAGCGGCTACCGCCAGGTGCTGGTGGCTCACGTCTGTCATCCTAGCTACTCAGAGGCTGAGATCTGAGGATTGTGGTTGAAAGCCAGCCCAGGCAGGAAAGTCATGAGACTCATCTCCAATGAACCACCTGAAAAACGGAAGTGGCGTTATGGCTCAAGGGGTAGAGCGCTCGCCTTGAGCTGAAGAGCTCAGGGACAGTGCCCAGGCAGGCCCAGAGCTCAAGACAGAAAGCTGCTACTTGAGACTGGGTAACAAAGTGTGGAAGTATTCTTAGCTCAGGGTTCTAGAGGCTAGGAAATCCAAGGCCTGGCTCCATCACCTAGCGAGGACTTCTCAGAACTGCACCCATCTACGGAGCATCTCCGGTGAGTCAGCACAGCGGACTAGTACATCTCTATTATTATTAGTGTTGTTATTACTGTAGCCATGACAACCATCCCAGGGACCCGCCCCTCCTCACAACCTCACTGAATCCTGATCACCTCCCAAAGGCCTCACCGCCAAAGGTGGATTTGAAGTGTTAGGCCGTCCTTACAATGATGTCATTACATTGATGGATGTCATTACATTGATGAACAGTAAATTGAGGTTCCCAACACACCAGTTTATGCTGGGGAACAGCTCGGAGATGGGGAGCAGTGGGGGGTGAAGGGAATGATGACACAGATTCAAAACAGCAATGGTTAATCCATGTCCCTTCTAGTGTATGCCTATGCCTTCCTTAAACTAGGGGAGAGCCAGGTGCTGGTGGCTCACTCCTAATACTCCTCACCCCTCGGGAGGCTGAGATCTGAGGATCACAGTTCAAAGCCAGCCCAGGTGGTAATGCCCATGAGACTTGTATCTCCAATGAACCACCAAAAGGCCAGAAGTTGAGTTTTAATCTAGTAATAGAGTGCTAGCTTTGAGTAGAAAGGCTCACAGACAGTGCCCAGGCCCAAAGTTCAAGCGACACACACACACACACACACACACACACACACACACACACACACACGGCTATGAGGGCCCATTTTACCCCTAGGAGATGGTTTTGTCACCGAGCGCAGGTGAGGGTTGGTGAAGTTTTCCTTTAACAGTAAGGACTCTTCACTGTGGATCCTTGACTTCCATCTCAGAATAAGAACTTCTGGACAAATCACGATGGCAAGAAGACTTGGCAGAGCTTTTTTGAGTACTATGCAAGCAGGCAAGCAGACACACAGAAGGGCAGGGCGTACTCTAACTCAGTGTGGGTGCTCTCATGGAGAGACAGAGATACACAGCTCCTTGGCTGTTGGGGTATTTATATGGTAAAGACAGGGGGTCTGGCTTCAAAGTTGTCTTTGCTCTGATCATACCTGGTAAGTTTCCTGGTAAGGATGCATCCTGCCATAAAAAAAAAAAAAAAATCCTTATTCTTGAGATAAGAGGGCACCCTGTTATCTGCATTTGGGGGAGGTTACTTAAGTTTGGAGGAAGCAATTTTCTCAGGAAGGCATAGATCCTGCGAGGCAAGTGTTCATGGTTGGGGTGAGAAATCCTTCTCTCAGGAAGGGATGCACCCTGTTGTCTCTTTTCGAAGATGGCTCTTCTGTGTTTCTAAATACCATACTTCTGAATTACCTTTACTAGGCAGCAGGAATCTGGCTTCAGTTTATGGGCTGGAGTCTTTTTTTTTTTCTTCTTTTGTGCTGGTACTGGGGCTTTAACTTAGAGCCTCAGGCGCTTGCTTGGCTTTTTCTACTCAAGGTTGGGGTTCTACTGCTTGAACCATACTCCTCTACTTCCAGCCTTTTCCTCCTTCATTGGAGGTAAGATTTTTAGCTTCCCACATAGCTAGGATTAGAGATGTATAATGTGAGTTATCAACATTTACCTTGTTAGAAATTAAAACTGAAAAGTGGTGATAATGCATTGAAGATGACAATATGCCTATTAATGCTAACCTAAGTGTTTTTAAAAAATATATATATTTAAAAGAAAAACAAAACGGTGCAGTGCCAGGTGCCAGTGGCTCACGCCTGTAATCCTAGCTACTCAGGAGGCCAAGCCAGCCCAGGGCAATAATGTCTGAGAGTCTCTTCTCCAATAAATGACTCAGAGAAAGCTGGAAGTGGCGCTGTGGCTCAAGTGGTAGAGCGCTAGCCTTGAGCCCCAAAGGGGCTCAGGGACAGTGCCCAGGCCCTGAGTTCAAGCCCCAAAACACACAACACAGTGAGACTGAAGCAAGCTAGACTAGGGGAAATGAGGTGTGCTAAGTGTTAGGAAAATGGAGGAGAAAGGAAGGAAATAGGGGCTCCAACTTCCACAGGCAAGGACTGTTAATTGAGATAGAGCAGCCAGGGCACAGCCTCCCCACGGGCTTAGAGACTGCGGTGTATAGAGCTGGGACAGGAGCTGGGTTTTTCTGGGGTCTGAGCCAGGAGGCAGAGGGTAATTAAAAGGCCTTTAGTGTTTACAGCTCGGCCTGCAGCAAGCAGTCTGCACTTACCTCTGGGTGGCTTGCTTGACCTCTGTATGCACCTGGGAAAACTGGCCTGGGGCTCAATCCTTCATAGTCCATTGTTGGATACATGGAAACAATGTGCCCAGAGGGGAGTGGCAAGTCCTTCACTAAGTTACAGCACTCTCAGGAGACACTCATTCCCGTACGTCCCTTAAAAATAAAGGACTAGGGCTGGGAAGGTGGCTCAGTGGTAGAATACTTGCCTAGCATGCATGAATGCCTGGGTTCCATTCCTCAGTACCACAGAAACAGAAAAGCCTGGAAGTGGCACTGTGGCTCAAGTAGGGTGCCTTGGGCAAAAGAAGCTCAGGGTTAGTGCCCAGGCCCTGAGTTCAAGCACCAGGACTGGCCAAAAGCAAGGAAGGGAAGGGAAGGGGAGGGGAGGGAAGGGAGAAAGGAGGGACCAAAGTCATTTAGGGGAAAATGAGGCAGGATAAGTTAGGAAATGGAGGCCTGGTGCATACCAGGTGCATACCACGCAGATGCATGGTATTTAGAAACACAGAAGTGCTGTCTTTGTTTCAAAGAGACAACAGGATGCATTCCTTCCTGAGAGATGTAGTTCTCACCCCAAGAATTAATATTTGTCTGGCAGGATGTAGGCCATCCTGAGAAAAATGCTTCCCTGCTGCGAAGGTGGCTCAGTGTTAGTGTGCTTGCCTTGCATGCATGAGGTCCTGGGTTCGATTCCTCAGCACCACATAAGAAAAAAGCCGGAAGTGGCGCTGTGGCTCAAGTGGTAGAGCACTAGCCTTGAGCTGAAGAGCTGAGGGACAGCGCCCAGGCCCAGAGTTCAGGCCCCATGACAAGAAAGAAAGAACGAACAAAGAAGGAAAGAAAGAAAGATGCTTCCCCCAAAACCTAAGCGCCCTCCTCCCCAAAATACAACACAAAATAAATAAAAAAATTTTAAAAATGCAGACAACATGATGCCTTCATCTCAAGGATAAGGATCTGTTTCATGGCAGGATGCATTCTTTTTAAATTAAGTTTTTTATTGTGAAAATACTGTACAGAGGGGTTACAGTCACATGAACAAGGTCATGAGTACATTTCTTATCCAGCATTGTTGCCTCCTCCTTTGTTTTTCCCCTTGCCATTGCAGGATGCATTCTTACCTGAAAAGAATGCCCAAAACATCCAGAAACTCAAAAATGCAACAGCAGGAGGGATTAGAAGAAAGATAAACACCTACCTTTGAGTAACTTTGAAGCTAGACCCCCTGCTTTTACCATATAAATACCCCAACAGCCACGGAGCTGGTCTATCTCCCTGTGAGAGCACCCACACTCCGTTACAGTGTGCCCCTGCCTGTTTGTCTGTTTGCTGTCTGTCTGCTTTCCTGCTTGCATATGTACTCAGTAAAGCTCTGCCAAGCTTTCTTACCATCATGACTTGTCCAGAAATTCTTAATCTGGGATCCAAAGCAAGAAGCCTAAGTGAAGAGTTCCTACATTTAACTTCACTAACTCTCACCTGCATCCGGTGGCCGGAAATTGCTTTAAATGCTTGCAGCTCATTGGTTGAATAGAAGACAGCTGGAGGGTTGGGGCTTGGCAATGTGCAAGGCCTGAAGATAAAACCAACTAGGACCTCCTGTTTCCTAGCTCACCCAGTCTGCTGCACACTCACAACACGAAAATCAGCTTAAGAAAACACAGGGATAGGTCTGAGAAGGTGGCTCAGTGGTAGAGCGCTTGCCTTGCATGCCTGAGGCCCTGGGTTCGATTCCCCAGCACAACATAAGCAAAAAGAAAAAAGCCGGAAGTGGCGCTGTGGCTCAAGTGGTAGAGCGCTAGCCTTGAGCTGAAGAGCTGAGGGACAGCGCCCAGGCCCAGAGTTCAGGCCCCATGACCAGACCCCCCAAAAAAAAAGAAAAGAAAAGAAAGCACAGGAATATTATGAGAACAGTGGCTTTGGAGAGAAGACTTCTCAAATGAGGTCATATGTAATCATCTTTCTAAACACGAGCACCAGCACCAGAGTGTGTGTGTGTGTGTGTGTGTGTGTGTGTGTGTGTGTGTGTGTGTGTGTGTGTGTGTGTGTGTGTGTGTGTGTGTGTGTGTGTGTGTGGAGGATGGAGGGAGGAAGAAGAAGAGTGAAAGAAATAAAGACACAAGTTTCTCCTCCCTGCTTTTAGGCCAAGAATAACAGAAGTTTTCCGTAACCCAAGATGGCGACCTCTATGCCGGTGAGTCCGTACGGTGACGTCACAGGGGAACTTCCTTCCCGCGGCGCCGCCACGACCCTTCCCAGGATGCCTTGCGTCCGGTGACGTCACTGCCCGGCGCCGACGGAAGCGGCCCTGACGGAAAGGAAATAAAAGGTCTCAAAGGCTGGACCGGTGGAGGCGGGCGGCGCTGCGGGGCCGTGAGTATCCCGGCGGGGCGGTCGCGGGGCGGGAGGGAAGCGCGGGGCGGCGAGCGTCCCGTGGGGAGCGTTCTCGGCCTGGGCCCGGGAGCGGGGAGAAGCCGGGCCCCGCGGCGGCGGCGGCGGCGCGGTCTCCAGGGGAGGCCGTGGGAAGTCGGGCCGGGGCCGGGCCGGGCTTGGGGGTGCGGAGCCCCCCGGGCCGAGGCAGGGCCGGGCCGGGCTTGGGGGTGCGGAGCCCCCCGGGCCGAGGCAGGGCCGGGCCGGGCTTGGGGGTGCGGAGCCCCCCGGGGCCGGGGCGGGGCCGGGCTTGGGGGTGCGGAGGCCCCGGGGCCGAGGCTGGGCCGGGCCGGGCTTGGGGGTGCGGAGCCCCCCGGGGCCGGGGCAGGGCCGGGCTTGGGGGTGCGGAGGCCCGGGGGCCGAGGCTGGGCCGGGCCGGGCTTGGGGGTGCGGAGCCCCCCGGTTCGAGGCCGGGCCGGGCTTGGGGGTGCGGAGGCCCCGGGGCCGAGGCTGGGCCGGGCCGGGCTTGGGGGTGCGGAGGCCCCGGGGCCGAGGCTGGGCCGGGCCGGGCTTGGGGGTGCGGAGGCCCCCGGGCCGGCGTGCGGCTTCGCGGGGCGGGACTGCGGGCGGCCTGACTCTGACGCAGCTTCCGGAGCCCGGGGCGGGATCGGTGGCACGGTGTTCATTTTCTCCTCCTCCTCCTCTTCGGGGTCCCGGGCACTGTCCCCGAGGCGGGTTGGTTTGGTGTGTTTGGGGGGGGCTTTGGTTTACGTTCTGTAATTGCTCAAGGCTGACGCTCTTACCACTCGAGCCGTGGCTCCACTTCCGGCTTTTTGGTGGTTCCTGGGCGATGAGGGTCTCGCGGACTGCGGACTTCCCTGCCAGGGAACCGCAGTCCTCAGATCTGAGTCTCCGGAGGAGCGAGGATGCCAGGCCAGGCTAAGCCACTTAACGAGAGAGGGGCGGGGGGAGAGAATCTCGTGAATTCCGAGGCCCGGGCCAGCGCCTGGGCAGCAGTTTTTTTCCCTGTGCCAGGTGTGGTCACCCAGCCAGAGACGAGAGCCGCCCTTACCCGGCCCGGTTGCGAACTGGGGTCCTGATTAGGTCCACCTGAGCCGCGGCTTCTCTCCCACCACTGGCACGTGGGCCTTTCATCCCATCCTTTTGGTTAAGTCGGTGAGCCCAGTTTTGGCGTGGATTCCATTTTGAGCTCCACAAGAAATTAATTCTTGGGCTTCGTTGTGGCAATGCTGCCCCTCCTTCCCCCCCAAAAAAGGCTTGTTTTTTTTCCCCGCCCCCCCACAGTTTGGTTGTTCATTTCGAAGAGATTAAGGCTCTTTCTTGTTGCTGTTTTAGCTGCGGCCTCGTTTTTGCTACCTCAGCACAATGTTAACCGTGGAAGGAGAAATCATCTGGTTAGGGAGCCTGGGTTTAGTCTCCAGCTGCCCGTCTTCTTCCCCATCTCCTCTATTTCCCCCATGGGTTTCTTGTTGCTTAGAACAAGTTCTGCTATCAGATTTTGAGAACATAACAGCTAAAATGACACTTAGCATTATTTGTGGGTTTATTATAACAGTTCCAATGCGAGGAAGTTAGACTTCCTTTGGAAGTCATTGTTTCATTCAGTCTTCGCTGCAGTTAGGTGTGTGGCAGAATTTTTCATTATTAGCACCGTTACAAAGCAGCTGTTTTTCTCTTCCAGACTTTTAGCCTCGCCCCGCACACTGAATTCAGCATGGGGGAGAAGGCCGAGAACTTTAAAGTGCCAGAAGATCTAGTCAAGGGCTTAAAGGTTACAGATCCTCCAGAAACAGGAGGAGCCAGCCCAGCAGCTCCTGATCCCAGAGATCCGCATTCGCAGAGCAGGAAGCTCCAGGATGATAAGGGCAGTCTCCAGGAAGACCAGGTAGAAGAGGAGCACTTTCATGACTGTAGTGCCTCATTTGAGGAACCTGGAGAGCCTGAGACTGAGAGCAAAGCTGGTGAGGACCCCACTTCCTCGGAGCTAGACGAGGAATACCTAATCGAACTGGAGAAAGATATGCCAGAAGAAGAGAAGCAGGTAAATGTTGTGCACAATCTGCCTCTTAAACTGCTTTTAAAAATGAATAAATGTCAGCCAGCTGGGGACGGGATGTCTCATGCCAGGAGAATTTGTGAGATGAAGCCTGGCCCAGGTTACTTTTCTTCCCCCAGAAAAGCAAGCAAGTACGTGTGGCTGTAATAGTCTGCTTTGCCTGAGTAGAGTGACCAGTCCTGACCACAAGAGTAGCACTAGATCTGTCAGTAGCATGACAGAGAAGCATAGGGCTTTGCAGAGAAATTCCTGTTTTTCTGGGAACTTTTATCTTGTACTTCAGAGTCTAAGTTTTTTTCTAATCTATAGGTTTGAGTGCCTGTATAGGTAACACCGCTTATTTCATGACCTTTGCTAGGGTTGAAGTTTCTGATACGGACATTTTTATGACTGACAGTGCTTTTTTGTTGATCCCTAGCCAGCAAAGTAAGAGTTGAGGGTTTTTGTGGCGGCCTGGTTACAGAGGACAGTGGCTGGGTCTACAAAACAGCATTGCATTTAATGGTAGCTTTGTTTTGTTGAGCAGCAATGGGCTAGCCACTAAGCTGAGATGTTACTGAGTTTGAGTCCCCTCAACAGACTTTTGAAACATGTTACCATTCCCCAGAGTGGGGAAGTAACTTGCCTAAGATCGCACACCTGGAAAATGCCAGAACGGATTCTTGAACTCCTGTCCCTTTGATTTAGAAACAAAAGAAAACACCTTCCTATAAAGCTTCTTTGCCCCAGAACTGACCAAAACAGAAGCCTTGATCTCCTTCAACTTTATAATCTCAGGGACCAGGAGGTTTAAATAGTTAAATTGTCTTAGAGCTCATCTTAAAGAACCTGAATAATACAGTTAATGCCATCAGCGAGGGTGCAGATATGAATGTTGTGTGGGCCCGGGGCATGGTTGAGGTGATGGAGCATCTGTCTGCAGGTGGAAGGCCTTCGTTTAATTGCTTCATTAACGGGCTGTGTAAGAGGGTGGAGCAGGGAAACAGTGTGGGGAATGCCGGAAGTGGCACTGTGGCTCAAGTGATAGAGTGAGTGCTAGCCTTGAGCTGAAGAGCTGAGGGACAGCGTCCAGGCCCAGTGTTCAGGCCCCACGACCGGATTCCTACCCCCCCCCCCCCCGAAAAAAAAGCGTATTTGATTCAATTTTTTATTAATATAGAAGAGATACAGACTCAGCTCTAAGCCTTCATACTGCAGATTTTCCTTGTGCACTCAGATGTAAAGTAAAAGAGGTATTCTAATCAGCTGCTGCATGGGGTTGCAGTTCTCACATTCTGACAGGTTGCACCCAAACTTAAAAGCACTTAAGTTTTCTAGCTTGAGCTAGATACATGTGTGTTTTTCGTAAAATAATAATTCAAGTTTCCTCTAATATTTTAGCACATGCCTGGTAGATGGTGTTCTGCAATAGGTATATTTTACACCTTAGGTTTTTGTTGTTGTTGTTGTTTTTCCCAGTAGTAGGGCTTGAACTCTGGGTCGGGCACTGTCCCTCAGCTCTTCAGCTCAAGGCTACCACTCTACCACTTGAGCCACAGCGCCACTTCTGGTTTTCTGGTGGTTTATTGGAGATAAGAGTCTCACAGACTTTCCTGCCCGGGCTGGCTTTGAACCTTGATCCTCAGATCTCAGCCTCCTGAGTAGCTAGGATGACAGGTGTGTGAGTCACCGGCGCCCGGCCATCTTTTAACTCAGTGAATGGTATAGTATCACACAGCTATGATATCAGATATTGTATCAGTAATCTAATAAAAATAAGTTTACTGTGTTTGCCAGGGAAGAGTGGTGGTTATTCTCTTTACAGGAAGTCTGATTTAGCAGTGGTGTTCCCTCACTTTTTGTCCTAATCGTGTTGTAAGTAACTCGTCTTCCTTATAGAACCGTAGGAAGCAACCCTTCATCTTAAGTCCTCAGTTTTCTGGTTGGTTCTTCAGAAAGGGCAGATGCTGTCCGTATTTCCCACTTCAGTCACTTTTTCAGATGCATGAAAAATCTGCACATTCACTACACACCAGGCTAATTCTAGAAGTTAACTCATTCATCTGGCAGCCATCCATTAGTGCCCAGAATAAATAGAAAAAAACGTACACAGACTGTGGTCAGCAGCTCACGGCGCGCACTGCTGAACGAGAGGCAGCAGCTGTGCTTTCTCCTGTGTGTGAGTACAGTGTGGGGACCGTGGCCACATACTCTGTCCTGTGCACAGGTATAGCCCAGGTGCTTAGCATAGCGCCTGCACAATGCATGCCTTAAATGGAGGAACTTAGACTGAGATAAGAACGCAAGACACTGTGTTTAATCCTTAAGGATGAAAATTTCTCAAGAGTTCATTTTAGTTTCAGACATAATGTGTTCTCCTGCCTGAGTCCTGTGGTTGTGTGTGTGTAGGTAGGTAGGTAGGTAGGTAGATGTTACAGCATTATTGGTGATATCCATCCTGCCCACTTGGTTAAAGTGGTGTCCACTTCTTCCTGCAGCATAATTGTGATACATTTCCCATTGCAGTTACTACCTTAGGCAAATGTTTCCAGAGGGTTTTGTGTTTTTGGACAGGCTTGTTATGTATCCTGGGCTGGCAGAACTTACCTCCTGGCCTGGACCCCACAGACTGAGATGGTGGACCTGGGCAACCATGCCTGCTTCCTTCCTTTATTTTTTATTTATTTTTTTGGTCGGTTGTGGGGCTTGAACTCTGGGCTTGGGCACTATCCCTCAGCTCTTCAGCTCAAGGCGAGCTAGCTCTACCACTTGAGCCACAGCGCCACTTTGGTTTTCTAATGGTTTATTGGAGATAAGAATCTCACGAACAAAAAAAAAAAAAAAAAGAATCTCACGAACTTTCCTTGTCCTTGCTCGGCTGACTTTGAACCTCAGATCTCAGTCTCCTGAGTAGCTGAGCCACCGGTGCCTGGCCCTTCCTTTATTTTTATTTTGTTTGTTTCATGGTGGGGCTTGAATTCTGCGCCTGGGCGCTGTCCCTGAGATTTTTTATTTATTTATTTATTTGTGAGAATACTGTACAGAGGAGTTACAATTACATGGGCAAGTGTCCCTGAGATTCTTTTGCTCAAGGCTAGCACTCTACCACTTGAGCCACAACACCACTTCCAGCTTTTTCTGTGCTTAGATGGAGATAAGAAACTCAGGAAGAGGTTGGGAAGGTAGCTTAGTGGTAGTGTTTTTGTCTAGCGTGGATGAAGCCCTGGCTTTCATTCCCCAGTACCACATACACAGAAAAAGCCAGAAGTGGCCCTGTGGCTCAAGTGCTAGAGTGAAAGCCTTGAGCAAAAGAAGCTCAGGGACAGTGCCCAGCCCTGAGTTCAAGCCCCAGGACTGGCACAAAAAAGAATTTCAGGGACTTTCCTGCCCTGGCTGACTTTGAACCACGATCCTCAGATCTCAGCCTCCAGCCAGGATTTAGGATTACAGGTATGAGCCACTGGCGCCCAGCTTGCTTCCATTCTTTTTCTTTTTTGGGGGAGGAGGGGTGGCCCAGTTGTAGGGCCTGAACTCTGGGCCTGGGCGCTGTCCCTCAGCTCTTCAGCTCAAGGCTAGCGCTCTACCACTTGAGCCACAGCGCCACTTCCGGCTTTTTTCTTTTTGCTTATGTGGTGCTGAGGAATCGAACCCAGGACCTCATGCATGCAAGGCAAGCGCTCTACCACTGAGCCACCTTCCCAGCCCTTGCTTCCATTCTTATAAGGTGGTTTGCTTTTTTTTTTTAGTTCTTTGTGGTAATGTCACAAATATCTTATTCATATTTGTCAGCTGTGTGTTTAAGTTGTGCTAAAATGGGTTAAATCCAAGGGTGCAGCTCAGTGGAATTGAGCTCATTCACCTTGTGCACCTGTCAACCACGGTCCATCTCCAGACTGCTTCATCCTGCAGAGCAAGCAGCCCCTCCCCGCTCCCCCTTCCACAACCTGTAGTAGCAATCATCCTGCTTTCTATGAATGGACATTCTGGGCACCCCATGGGGGTGGGATCGCTCCATATCTGTCCTTTGCTGTCTGCCTTCACTGCTTGGTTTTCAGAATCTGTGGCTGTTGTAGCATGTGTGAGGGGTTGGTCCTCTCTGAGGTTGCATAATAAATTATCTCCATGGTATCCAGGTGCCACATTTGTTTCTCCCTCATACCCATCCGCTAGTGCATGGGTTGCTTCTGCTTTGGGCCATTTGATTGGTGATGTCGTGAACTTTGGTGCAGCAACCTGTTCAGTGTCAGTTATCTTTTGAATTTGTTATAATGAAATGTTTTGTTGGAATTTGCTTTGTTTTTCTACAGTCAGATTTATTTATTAGTCTTCATATTATTTCTGGATTTATATCAGTCAGAGCCATTCTCCATGCTGAAAGACCTCCAGTCCATTCAGAGTTTATTCATATGCTGTCCTGTGGCTGTATTTTTATCTATTTCCAGATGGCTGCTATGTCTCAGCATCATTTTTTAAAATTGGCATTAGTTGTGCAAGGCGGGTCTCCTTGTAACATTTCTACACATTCACATGATGTTTCTAAATCAAATTTGTCTCTCTCAGGCTGGGAAGGTGGCTCAGTGGTAGAGCGCTTGCCTTGCATGCCTGACGCCCTGGGTTCGATTCCTCAGCACCACATAAGCAGAAAATTCCAGAAGTGGCGCTCTGGCTCAAATGGTAGAGCACTGGCCTTGAGCTGAAGAGCTGAGGGACAGCGCCCAGGCCCAGAGTTCAGGCCCCACAACTCCCCCCCCCCCCAAAAAAAAAATTGCCCCTCTCTTCTTACCCACACCCCCACCGTCCTAAGACAGTTTCACCATGTTCCATTGTTCTGTTTTCCCACATGCAGATAAACTACATGGACCACATCCATCCTCATTCACGCTCTGTCCACTCTCTCCCCACCAGTTCTGCCTATTTTAATTTTCCTATCATTCCTTATTTAAACTGATTATACCAATGGGTTTCCATACCAGTTTCAAAATTCTACGTTTTGTGCTCGCTTCGGCAGCACATATACTAAAATTGGAACAATACAGAGAAGATTAGCATGGCCCCTGCGTAAGGATGACACGCAAAATTCTATGTTTTCTTTAATGATCTAGTTAAACCTTAATGGCAACAAGCTGAAATGTTTGCACTTTTCAAGGTTGGCCATCTGTTAGCCATACACCAGTAGTTCTCTTCCACCTGTATCCCAGCTACTCAGGAGGCTGAGATCTGATCTGAAGATCATGGTGCAAAGCCAGTCCAGACAGAAAATTCCTGAGACTTGTATCTCCAGTTAACAAACAAAATACTGGAAGTGGAGATAGGGCCCAAATGGTAGAGTGCCAGACTTGAGAGGAAAAACTTAAGGACACGAAGGTTGAGCAAGAGTTCAGGCCTTGTTACCCAAGAATCCTGTGTTGTAGGATTTTACTTTCATGTATTCTTGCAACTATTGGACTGTTTTGTGTTGTTGGGTTTTGTTGGAGATATCAGAATTTGAACTCAGGGTCATGTGCTTGCTAGGGTACAACTTGCTGTACAACTTGAGCCATATCCCTTGCCCTGGCCTCTTAAGAGTGTTTGTGTGTGTGTGTGTGTGTGTGTGTGTGTGTGTGTGTGTGTGTGTGTGTGTGTGTACACGTACACATACATGTACATACGCGTTCGTGCGTGCATGCCTGTCTGTGCACACGCGCAACATTATTCCCTGGGGCTTGAATTCTGGGCCTGATCCCTGTCCCTGAAACTCTTTTTTTTTTTTAAACTGAAAGAGTCTAAAGTTACTTTAGTAACTGTACATGCTAGTAGCCAGACCTTGGTTTCTTTCTAGATACTGTTTGAAACTAAAGATGGGGAGAATTCACCAATTCCAGGTCAAAGTACAAAATACTATACATAGAATACTATGTGCACCTGAAACAAAATCCACTTTTAGAAAGATGGAGGTGTGGTGGGGAGAGTGTTGCTCCAGCAGGAAGTCTGGGGAATCTGGATTGTGACATGAAAGAACCCCACAGGGAGGGGCGGAGGAGAGCGTGCCCAGGGTTCAAAAATCTAATTTGGCTTAAGCAGCTGTTTCAAAGCTGTCATTGGTGTCTTGAAAATTACTAGGGAGCCGGGCGCTGGTGGCTTATGCCTGTAATCCTAGCTACTAAGGATGCTGAGATCAAAGCCAGCCTGGGCAGGAAAGTCACAGAAGTGGCGTTGTGGCTCAAGAGGTAGCGCACCGGCCTTGAGCTGAAGAGCTGAGGGACAGCGCCCAGGCTCGGAGTTCAAGGCCCACGACTGACCCAAAAAAAATTAATAGGGTTACAGTTTGGGGAACACCCAATTCCTAAGAGTTGATACCTGTAAAGTAGGCGTGGATATAAAGAAAGCTTAGATTTTTTGCGTATTTACAATGTTTTATCTTGGCTCTCTTTCAGAAGAGGAGAGGAGAGAGCACTAGACTAAAGGAGGAAGGAAATGAACAGTTCAAGAAAGGAGGTGAGGTGGTGGGATAGCACTAACGCCTGCTCTCCCTCGCCCGTCTTCAGTGTGAAGACTCAGAACATCTGGAAACACCTAGCAAGCCTGAGCGCCATCTCCACACAGCTTCCGACTCCTGGGACTTGGTGTCCGTATTGTTTTACCTGCTCCAAGTCACTGTCGGCTGACAGCGAGCCAGCCTGTGTCTCTTGGCACAGGAGTTTTTCTTTTCTTATCCAGAGACCAGGAGTGGCTGGGCACAGCGCGTGTGGAGGCCTGCCTGGCTGTAAAGCAGAGCCCTGCTCCTTGCTGGCTACAGGGCTTTGCCAACAGCCCAGCCTTCTGAGGGCCAGGCGTCCACTTCCTCCCCCATTGCCCGCCCTTACACTGCAGCCGGCTATGTAAAGACAGTGGTGCAGCTCGCAGCTTTGGAGGCTGGAAGTCTAAAGGGCATAATGCCTGTGGCACTGAGGGCCCCAGGACGTAGACAGCCAGGGAACCACAGGGCGGCGCCTGAGCCTCCCTCAGGAGATGCTGTTCCCAGTTCTCACCCTGCATCTCACATCTGACTCCCAGACTGGTGGCTGGCTCAAGCACTAGAGCACCTGCCTAGCAGATGCATAGCCTGAGTTCAAGCACATGCCTGTAATCCCAGCAGGGGAAGGCTGAGATAGAAGCTAGTTGAAGGACAGTCTCCGCTCTACCATGAGGCCCTGTCACAAACAGATGTAGCAGTGTTAACCTCCACCTACTTAGTAGGTTCTCACTTTTTTATCTGAGACCAAGTATCTAATGCTTTCATTAGCTGGGGCTCTATAACCTGAGCCCTGCCCTGGCTCATCCTAGTTTAACAATCCTCCCTTCTTTTCTCAGAGACCTAAAGGTTCTTGACGCATCCCGCATCCCCCTCCCCCCCACTTCCCACTCCTGCAGTGCTAGGGACTGAGCCCAGCGCTTTGTACAAGTTCAGCCAGTACTCTACCACTGAGATTACTCCAGCCCCAGAAACTTCTTCAACCTGAGTAATGGATCTCAAGCCTTACTCGCTTCCTTATCTGTCTAGTTCCTTTCCCCTGCCCCCCTTGGGAACCTCCTGTCTGAATCGCTAAGTCAGATGAGGCTGGCTGTCCAGGGTATGAGCAGCAGAGACATTGCTGACAGCGTGCAGTGTCTGCTCACCAATCCCAGGCCTTGGGAGATCGGTGGGAGCAGCAGGTCCTCAGCAGCAGCGCGGCTGCAGTGGTGGAGAGGCCAGCCTTGAAGCAGGCACCATTTTGTTAGAGAAGGGAGGAGATGTGACTGTCCCAGGCGTGACAGACCAGGACTGTAGTAGAGTGGAAGCCTTTGCGTGGGAGCTGTGCATTCTGGCACCTGTGGAATGCAGAAGTGTGTGGAGTAAAACCTGATTGACTCTCACCCTGAACCCTTTTGTCCTAGATTATGTCGAAGCTGAAAGTTCCTACACTAAAGCTCTTCAGACATGTCCCGCCTGCTTCCAGAAAGACCGGTCCATTCTGTTTTCAAACCGGGCTGCTGCGAGGATGAGACAGGTATGGGTATTTCTTAAGCATGGGGTCTCTGTGTTTTGTAGGGTGCAATTTCTTCCCAACAGCCACCACAGAGGTTTAAAGTTTCTCCTGCTCTTTTCCTGCCCCTATACTTCATTGATGAAAAGAGCACAGGAAGGCTGAAAAAAGTACCATGTAATCGTTGAAGTAGTTGTGTGAATACTTTTATGGAAGGAGGGCTGGCAAAGTTTCCAGGAAACTAGGGCAGGTTCACGGGCAAGGAACCAAGTGGTGTGCGTCCCACAACAGCGACAGCTGCTTGACCGAGGCCTCCAGAATTCTAAATAAAGACTCAGAGGCTCAAACTCCACACTTAAAGATGCTCATCCCCAAGTCGGGCTTTTCTGTTGAAGGCCCTGCGCTACATAGGGAAGTGTCCAGCAGCTGGGGCGGGGGGGAGAAAGCAGCTGTGTGTACTTTCACAGGACAGAGCCTGGCGTGGCAGGGAGAATGCAGGTGCATTTATTGCGTGTGTTGGTGCACTAAATGTCTCACTTCCCTGTGTCTGCACAGTCACCATGCAAGACTGGAGAGATGAAAATATTTTTGGGGGGGGGAGGGTGGTTGGTCATGGGGCTTGAACTCTGGGCCTGGGCGCTGTCCCTGTACTCTTCAGTTCAAGGCCAGCGCTCTACCGCTTGAGCCACAGCACCACTTCCGGTTTTCTAGTGGTTTATTGGAGATAAGAGTCTCACAGACTTTCCTGCCTGGGCTGCCTTTGAACCGCGATCTTCAGATCTCAGCCTCCTGAGTAGCTAGGATGACAGGTGTGAGCTACCGGCACCTGGCCGAGAGATGAAAATTTTAAAGCAAAGGTCCTGCTTGTTAAACTGGCTGAGGAATCTTAGCAGGAAGCTGTCTCGGGATTGGCTGGCTGGGGGTTTCTGGGTGCCGAGATCAGCTGTCTGCCCTCACCTGTTCATATTCATACTGCTCAGGGTCTAGCGCCTCTACATATCTGGTTCCTTAGGTCTAGGATGGGAAAGCGGGTTCTTGAATATAGATATGCAGAAAGGTCTTTTTGTGTTGTTTTTTTGTTTTGTTTTAATGATCCAGTGCTTGAACTTGGGGTCTGGGTGCTGTCCCTGAGCTTTTTCACTCCAGGCTAGCACTCTACTACTTTGAGCCACTGCTCTACTTCCAGCTTTCAGGTGGTTAATTAGAGGTGAGAGTCTCGTGGACTTTCCTGGCCAAGCTGACTTCAAACTGCACTCCTCAGATCTCAGCCTCCTGAATGAGTAGCTAGGATTGCAGGCGTGAGCCACCAGCACCCAGCTCAGGAAGATTTTGGTGTTTTTTATTTTTGTATATATTTATTGTAAAGATATTGTACATGAGTAAGGTAGTGAGTACATTTCCTATCGAGCATTGTTACCACCTCCTTCGTTTTTCTCCTACCATTCCTTTCCTCCCCACCTCCCACCTCCCTCTTTTTTTTTTTTTTTGGTCCAGTCGTGGGCCTGGACGCTGTCCCTCAGCGCTTCAGCTCAAGGCTAGCGCTCTACCACTTGAGCCACAGCGCCACTTCCGGCTTTTTTCTTTTTGCTTATGTGGTGCTGAGAAATCGAACTCAGGGCCTCAGGTGTACAAGGCAAGCGCTCTACCACTGAGCCACCTTCCCAGCCCCTCCCACCTCCCTCTTCTCTCCCTCTCACCACTCCCCTACCCTGAAGTTACAAAGTTTTTCAACATAGTGTCTTGTATTGTTTTTATTTTAGAAAACTGCAACTTGTATCTAGCTGACTTTGGTCTCCAAATGATTTTAGGAGTGCTTTATGTGACATGAGCAAAGAAGTTCTACAGAATATCAAAATTAGGAAAAATAAGGCCATTTTTTTAAGTTGATGTAAACCAGTCCCATGCCTGACAGCAGTGGCTCACACTTGTGATTTGGGGGAGCCGAAAGTGGTGGGGTCTTGGTTCCCTGCCACAGGCCCCAGCACAGGCAGAGTCCATGAGATGCACGCCGGCATTCCATTCTCGGGCTGTTTGCCCCTCGTCCACTGGGTCCCAGAGCGCAGATGGCACATTTGACTTGTTAGACCTCCTCGGACCGCCCTCCAGCCTGACCTCGGCCTCTTCCTTCTATACCCCAGTGCCCCAGACCCATTGCTTTTCTAAAAATAATGTTCTCAGGCCAGGCAAGCAGTACTGCCCACAAGGGCCTGCTCCTAGGAAATACTGCAGGCTTACTCGGGCTGATGTAGGAAATCTGCAGGCTTACTCAGGCATGTTCAGGGACTCGAAAGAAGCCAGTGTCAGATGGTGTGCACCTGTCACCCCAGCTATGATGGGAAGTGAAAAATAGGAGGACTGCAGTCCAGTCACCCTGGGGCAGGAAGCAAGAGCCTATCTCAAAAATAAGCAGGGTAGCTAGGCACCAGTAACTCACACCTGAAATCCTAGCTACTCAGGCTGAGAGCTAAGAACCATGGTTCAAAGCCAGTCCAGCCAGAAAAGTCCCTGTGTGACCCTTTTCTCCAGTTTACCATCAGAAAACCAGAAGTGGTGCTATGGCTCAAAGTGGTAGAGCTAACCTTAAGAAAAAGGGCTCAGGGGGCTGGGAAGGTGGCTTAGTGGTAGAGCGCTTACCTTGCATGCATGAGGCCCTGGGTTTGATTCCTCAGCACCACATAAGCAAAAAGAAAAAAAGCCGGAAGTAGTGCTGTGGCTCAAGTGGTAGAGCACTAGCCTTGAGCTGAAGAGCTGAGGGACGGTGCCCAGGCCCAGAGTTCAGGCCCTACAACCGGACCCAAAAAGAAAAAAAGAAAAAGGGCTCAGGGTCAGCTCCTAGGCCTTGAGTTCAAGTCCCATGACTGGAAAACAGTGTAAGCAGTTCAAAGCTAGCCTAACTGTAAAAGTCCACTAGACTCCTCATAAAAGAAAAAGAATTTATTAGTATGTTCTACCAGTGATCCGAATTTGTATCTAACAGTTTTATTCGTAGCTGAAGAACTCCAAAATGTTTGCTTCTCGGTTACCACATTTTTTATTTGCACATTATCACCGTATATTGGGTCAGGTTTCCCTCAGTGAGAGGAATTGCGCAGCACCCATTTGCTGTGTGGACTCAGAGCTCCTTGTTTTCACAGCTGCTGGAGTTCTATTTCTAGGGTTGGGTTAGCGTGATTGCCTGGTGCGTGAGTTGGAAAAATAGGTGGCATTGCTAGACTTGAGTCTGTGCATAGAGGAGAGCTCTGCAGAGGAGAGCATTGTCAGTGTGGCACTTTGGGGGGAAGGGGGCTCATTGTTTGTTCTTGTGTGTGTGTGTGTGTGTGTGTGTGTGTGTGTGTGTGTGTGTGTGTGTGTGTGTGTGTGTGTGTGTGTGTGTAACATTCCTGGGGCTTGAACTCAGGCCTGAGTTCTGTTTGTTCTTGGTGTGTGTGTGTGTGTGTGTGTGTGTGTGTGTGTGTGTGTGTGTGTGTGTGTGTGTGTGTGTGTGTGTGTGTGTGTGTGTGTGTGTGTGTGTGTGTGTGTGTGTGTGTGTGTGTAACATTCCTGGGGCTTGAACTCAGGCCTGAGTTCTGTCCCTGTGCTGCTTTTGCTCAAAGCTAGCTGAGTCACAGCTCCACTTCCAGCTTTTTTTTTTTTTTGAGTCTCAACTGCCTAGGCTAGCTTTGAACTGCGATCCTCAGATCTCAGCTTTCTGAGTAGCTAGGATTACAGGCGTGATACTGGATTTTTTGTTGTTTTGTTTATTATGATCAAGCACAACACAAAAGTGACATCGTGTGGTTACGATGCAGTGGCTTTAGTCACAGCCTTCACCCTTACTTAGCTGCAGAACTTTTCCTTAACCCGCAGCCGTTACCTCATAATTATAAGTAATAATGAGTTAGTAAGGAGTCCATCCTGAGACTATCCTTGACTGGATTCAGAAGGGTGCTCTGCAAACCATTTAGTATGTAGTAAATAAAGCTAATGGGCATTATGGGAGGAGAACATGATTTGAACCAGCTTGCTTCTATAATACGGAAAATGTAGACCTTTCATCCGGCATTCAATCCGGCCTGCTCCTATTTTTGATGAGAAGCTATGCCTAAAGAAGTGTAGCGTGGTCAGCCTTAGGCAGAGGGCAGTACCAGAGCTGGGACAGAATCCAGTTCTTTTGATTGCTAGTGTCCTTCCTTCCGCTACACCGTTTTTAAATCCAGCAGGTTAAGTTAGTTGATACTTTGAGTTGTCTGTGTATTCCATCTAGAGTTCTAGTCAGATATATAGAGTTAGTAGCAAGTACCTATTGACTCCGGCTGCATGAAGATCTGCACCAGGTGCAATTACAGCATCCTCTGTACTGCTTGGAAGGTAGCATGAGCAGCCAGCCAAGAGGACTGGTGCCGTAGCGGGGTGTCCTCGGTGCGGCACTCTGCTGCAGCGTCTCTTGCTGGTGTAATAGGTCAGTTGGGACAGTTGGGGAAAGATGACCATTTGTTACCATGAGTCAGAGCTATCCCCGTGCTAATTCTAAATGTTCTCTTGGAAGTGGCATGTATTTTTATGTCGTTTATTTGGAAAGCTTTGTGTGTGTCCCTAAGCAGTTACTTATGAGCAGATGATGTAGACAGGTCTTGGAGCACTGAGACATAAGCACATTAATACAACATGTTAATGTTGTTTTCCCTTCTAGGACAAGAATGAGCTAGCCATCAGCGACTGCAGCAAAGGTACACGTGTACTCTTACCTTCTTGCCGGCTGACATGCGAGCGCGTTGCTCAGCTAGACAGATGGACAGGGGTCTGTGCACTCGTAGATGCGTCCCCTTCCTATAGGACAGCGTTTGCAAAAGAAGGCACTGTGGGTCACTCCCCACTACGCATGCTGGGGTAACTGTTTCCCACAGCAACAAACATGAAAATTCAGAGCTGCCTTTCCAACAGAACTTATGTGGTCTGTGGTCTCTAGGCTTCAGAACTTTTGTGAGGTCCCACTGGAGATCACAGCTGCCATGGGCATTGTTGTCTGTGTGTGGAGAAGGTCAGCCATGGTTAAGGGACAGGTTCTACTTTCCTGCATCTCCTAGACACTTAGTGTAGTATACCACGGTGTCCTTCAAACTTGTTTTTCCTCTTACAGTCTGTGCTTGGGAGACTAAAGCAGAAGGACCTCAGTTCAAGGCCTCCACAGCCCAGACCCATCTCAGCTACCACCCTGGGAGGATACCACACACTACTCAAGAGTTGATTCCACACTTTTTTTTTCTTTCCCATGCCAGCCCTGGGCTTGAGCTCTCTGCCTGGGCACTGTCTGAGCTTTCAAGGCTGGTGTTCTACCACTTAAGCCACACATCCATTTCCAGGTCTTTTGGGTTAATTGGAGCTAAGAAGTCTCATAAACTTTTCTGCCCAGGCTGACTTCAAGCCACAATCCTCAGATCTCAGCCTCTTTTTTTTTTTTTGGGTCCGGTCGTGGGGCCTGAACTCTGGGTCTGGGCGCTGTCCCTCAGCTCTTCAGATCAAGACTAGCCCTCTACCACTTGAGCCACAGCGCCACTTCCTGCTTTTTTCTTTTTGCTTATGTGGTGCTGAGGAATCAAACCCAGGGCCTCATGCATGCAAGACAAGCACTCTACCACTGAGCCACCTTCCCAGCCTCTTGAGTCATTAGGATGATAGATGGCATGAGCCACCAGCACCCAGCAGCTTTCATTCTAGAGTAGCTCTGCCAAAAAAATCACACTGTTGCTTCTTGTCACTCCATAAGGAACAAATCAAGACTCCCCTCCAGCCCTGTGCCGGTCTCTACATGCCAGGGTTATTCTGGTTTTAGTACCTTCACTCTTAGTGCCTCACACCAGTTCACGCCACCTGACCTTCCTCCAGCGTTCCCCTCTTGTCTGTTCCCTGAAGCCAGCTCTTACTCTGCGTTACCTTGGCCATTTCTTGTCCCGTGCACTCTGACCACACAACCATAGCCATGTGCTAGGATAGTGAGCGTTCAGCTTCTGTCTTCTTTACCGCTGTAGCCTCGTACACTTCCAGTCTGCGGGAAGCATGAATGAATGAAAATTATGTGAAAGGGAAAAAAGTTTTAAGAGTCAGGACATTACTTCCTAACAGAAGAGAGAACTCAGGAACAGGAGCCGTGCAGTGTACTCCACCCCAAACACAGCAGTTATTAGGACCGTTGGCGAATGGAAGGGTGAGGCTGGAGCCCAAGGCCTTCACCTGCCGGGCAAGTGCTCTGCCACTGGAAGAAGGAGCTGAGAACACAAATGACGGAAAGGCCCTGGCTGTGTGTGGAGGACCCGGCAGGTTTCGGGGTGTGACCTCAGCAATGAGGCCAGAGCAAAGGTGTCCGTGCAGCCTCTCCTCCCCATCTCTGCCGCCAGTCGCCTTGCGCTGAAGTGCTGCACCTGGCTGCTCCAGCTCGGTGAAGGGCAGGGCCGGGCCGTGGTCAGCCAGATCCACCTCCCCCCACAGACTGAGAATGATCTTTATTTTTTTTTGCCAGTCCTGGGGTTTGAACTCAGGGCCTGGGCACTGTCCCTGAGTTTCTTTTGCTCAAGGCTAGCACTCTACCACTTGAGCCACAGCGCCACCTCCAGCTTTTTCTGTGCATGTGGTACTGAGGAATCGAACCCAGGGCTTCACGCATGCTAGGCAACACTACCACTGAGTCATATTTCATATTCCCACCCCTGATCTTTATATTTTTAAATGGTTGGAAATTAAGGCAAAAGAAAAATACTCTTTGAGGCTGTGTGAGCCGCGTGGCGCTGCGGTCTCGGTGTGGAGGTGGTGTCTGTAGGAACGGGCCCCCCGTGTGCATGGTGCTTACACCAGCCTTTCCTCCTGGGAGCCGCCGGGAGCCACTGGCTGGGTGGGGGAGGGAGTGGCGGAGGGGGTCTGGCCACGAAGCCCACCTGTCTGTTGTCAGCCTCAGGTATGGACACAAAACATGACTCTTGCCACGCCCTGGGAGGATGTGGCGCTGAGACGGGACGCAGCCACTGGCCTGGGCTGGCCACGCTCCCTGCCGTGACAGTTGCTGCTTCTCTCTCCACAGCAATTCAGCTAAACCCCAACTACATCCGAGCAGCACTGAGGAGAGCAGAGCTGTACGAGAAAACAAGTAAACTAGACGAAGCCCTGGACGATTATAAATCTATACTAGAAAAAGATCCATCAGTACACCAAGCGAGAGAAGCTTGTATGGTAAACCCTAAGTGCTCTCTTCCCGTGGCCATCCTTCTCTATATGTCTGTTCTCGTTTCTTAAGACACACAGATGAGAAAGCTTTAAGTACGAATAGCACGATCCAGTCAACTTAAATATACCACTGTAAGCCTCTCATTCCAATCCTTTTGGAAACTGAACCACACTTTCACAGAGGTTCTCCTTTGCTTGAGGCACTGGTAAGGAAAATACAGGAAGTGAACTAGACAAAACTCCTGTTTTTGTGTAGCTCATTCATAAACACGTTTGACTTTTTGTTTAGTTAATGGACCGTGTGTGTGTGTGTTTTGGGACTTGAACTCAGTGCCTTTTGCTTATCTGTCAAGGCTGGAACACCTGCTTCTGGCTTCTTGTTGTTCCAATCCTGAGGCTTGAACTCAGGGACTGGGTGCTGTCTCTGAGCTTTTTTTGTGCAAGGCTATTGCTCTACCACGTAAGCCATAGCTCCACTTTTGGCTTTAGTGTTTGATTGTAGATAAGAATCTCAGACTTTTCTGCCCAGGTTGGCTTTGAACCAAGATGCTCAGATCTCAGTCTCCTGAGTACAGGCTAGGATTACAGGTGTGAGCTACCAGTGCCCAGCCTGATCTTATTTTCACACCAGATTTTTAAATGTTTCAAAATCAAAATAAAGGCAAAGGATCTCTCACCAATTGTTTCTTTTTTCCTCAGAGATTACCCAAGCAAATTGAAGAACGTAATGAAAAACTAAAAGAAGAGATGTTAGGTAAGTTTGCTTCCTTACATTCTCTCATCCATCAACAACTAAGACAGGGGTGAGGGTCTGTATTTCATCTGCTCAAGGAGACAGCAGCTAGGAAGAGCTTTGAGACCTCTCTCTCTCTCTCTTTCCTTTTCTTTGTTGTTGTGGGGCTTGAGCTCCAGGCCTGGCGCTGTCCCTGAGTTCTTCAGCTCAAGGCTAGCTATTTACCACTTGAGCCACAGTGCCACTTCTGAGACCTCTCTTTTTGCCAAGGGTACCAATACCAGAGAGGGTTACTTCTTACCTATTTCTTACTCCAGAAAGGGCAGCATAGTTGAGAGGGCATCAGCTTTTTCACAAACTCAATTTTCTATTAGGGTTTTCTTGGAAAATTTTACTTTCAAGAATATAAATATAATTGAACTTCCGATCTGAAACGTCACCACCAATCTGTCCCGTAATGGGTTGGAAACATTGGATTTTTGCCATCCTCCACCCTCCAAGGTTTAATTCATTTCACTTAGGGTCCAGGAATTCCCACCAGTAATGGCTAGAATGAAGGAAGCTTTTGTCTTGAAAATGGCACCCAGACGCTGTGTATGTGTGGCTCATGCCTGTCATCCTAGCTATACTCAGAGGCTAAGATCTAAGGATCAAGGTTCAAAGCCAGCCTGGGCAGAAAAGTCCATTGAGACTCTCTCCAATAAACTACTCAGAAAAACCCAGAAGTGGCCCTGTGGTTCAAGTGGTAGAGCACTGCCTTGAGCACAGAGAGGCTCAGAGGCAGAGCCAAGGCCCCAAATTCAAGCCCCAGGACCAGCAAAGAAAAAGAAAATGGCACCCAGAGGCTCTTTAGTATTCAGAGACAGAGGGTAGGAGTGAGGAGCAAGCAGTGAGGACAGAGGCTGAGGTGCCAGCAGATGGGTTCGTTTGATTTTCTTTTGCCAGAAACATTTTGGGTGGAGTCGTAGCTCTGGTGAGCAGTCGGCCCAACAGTCCTGCACAGAAAGCTGGTGCGCTGTATCACCTGACGGCTCGGGTGCTCCTGTGTTCTCCCTTCCTTCTGACCACTCTTAGCATAGATAGCACATAGTCTCAGATCCCTGAGAGCGAGGACACCTCTCCCAGAGGTGGCTTAGGTAGCACTGAGTGACGGTGTCTAGGCTCCGGCCGAACCGCGCAGGCTCGATCCTCCGGATGCTCTGGATCGTGGGTGTCCCGGAAGCCAGGCGCCTCTTCGCCCTGGGATGCCTGGGCCTTGCATGGGCCAAATCAGACCTGTGGTCTTTAAATACCGGTAGTACTTTCCCTTGCTTTTCCGGCACTGTGAATGAGCTCAGGACAGCCCCTCTGTTCAGACAGTGGCCGTGTATGGCTTCACCTTGTATGACCCCTGGAGTTGGGGTCACCTGACTCACTCTGTGTCAGTTTGTGATCTTTTTTGGGTTCTTTATGTGTTTTGTTATTGTTTTTGCCAACTCTGAGCCAGGCCATCAAGTGCTGAACGTGAGCCGGCTCAGCCACCCAAAGCTCCCACTCTGATTCTCCCAAAACAGCTAAGCCCGGGCGGCCCTTCTCTCCCCGGGGTGCTGCTGTGGGGATCTGGAGACAGAAGCTGGCCCGGAGTCTGTAGGACTCCTTCAACCAGAAGGCCTCTGTCTTTCAGTGTTTTGCCCTGGTCCCGCCAGGTGGTGGTTAGGCAGACTGTGGGAAGGGCTGGATCTCTGAAGATGGGGTTCTCTTCCTGTCTTCTTCCCCTGTCCTCATAGACACAGGAGGCAGAAGACAGACCTAGGGGGGAAATTAAGGCAGTTTAGAAAGTAGCCCTTTTTCACCCATCCAGTGAGATTTTCCAGAACATTCCCATTTCAAACAGTCTGCCCCACTGCACCATGCGTCCCTTCGTGTCTCTGAAATCGACCTTGACCTCACACACTCTGTGGGCCTCGTGTACCCCAGAACAGCTTGAGACCCGGCATCCCACGTGACCTCCCACGTGAGGGGAAGAGGGCACTGGGCTGCTGAGCTGGACCCCATTTCCCCAAAACACCAGGATTGGGGGCAGCTTGCACCCCAGAGGGCCGTGGGGGCTGTCTCCTCAGTGGTGGCAAACCTGGATGACCCCATAACATACTTAGAGCTTGGATCGGTCAGGCGAGGAGGCGAGGACGGTGGCTGTCTCCTGCAGTCATTTGCATTTTTTGCTTTTACATTGCAGGTAAACTAAAAGATTTGGGGAACTTCGTTCTTCGACCCTTTGGGCTCTCCACAGAAAATTTCCAGATCAAACAGGATTCCTCTACTGGCTCCTACTCTATTAATTTTGTTCAAAACCCAAATAACAATAGATAACAAAGCTGGCAGTGGTTGTACACGCTGACTGGGAAGTCGTGCGCTGCTTGCTGTCTGGAGGGCAAAGCCCTGCAGTTTCCATTTTCAGAACACCCTAGCTAAGAGCACCGCTCCAGTACAGGCTCCCCCATTGCTCTGTTGTTTGGCAGGGATTGTAGCCCGTCCTGCCGCGAGCCTGGCAGGTCTGCGCACACTGCTCCTGCCCTGGCTGCGCGGGGGAAGCCTGCTGTCCAGGCCGAACTCGGAGCCACACAGTGCCCTGGTCTGCAGACTTCTCCCCAGCCCACTAGACATGCTGCACGGGGTCCCTCAGACCCCCTGCCCATATGAAGCTCAGAGGCTGCTGCGCGGGGTCTCCAGCCTTCCCCGACTTCCTCTGTAATAAAAGCACTCTAACAGTCTGGGCTGCGTTGTGGTATCTGTCCCCATGGCAACAGCAGACATGGCCTTGTGGCTCTGGGTGGCTCTTGTGGCTGGAGGGGGGCGTAGTCTTGATCTCAGGCAGGGGTGCAGATGCTGACTTCCACAGATGTGCTTGGAAGTTCTAGTTGTCGCTGCCATTCAGCTGGGTGGTACAAGCCAGAAATTCCACTCCACTAGCCATCTTGGCCCTCTGCAGCTTTGCACAGATCATCATGATGCTAAATAGTGGCTTTGCCCAAATGTCAGCCTTGGTATTAAGGCTCAGAACAAATGGAACGTTCTTTCTCAGCACATGACACCCAAGGTCTCGAGGACAGCTGCGCGTCCGTGACCGCTGATGTCGCTCGAGTGCTGTGGGCAGTGAGGGGTCGGCCGCGCCCCCCAGGGGAACACAGCGCCCTTCCCTTTCTCGGGAAGAGACGGTGGTAACAGCCCCAGCTCCTGCTGGTTTGCCAAATCACCTTCACCCTGATAGCTCTTGTGGGAGTGCTGGGGGAGGGAAGAGGGAGAGAGGGCGGGGTCAGATTTTCTTGCATGTGTGTTGGGGGGGGGGGGGGTGGTTATATTGAGACAGGGTCTCTGTAGCCCAGGCTGGCCTGGAGTTCAGCTACAGACTCCTAAGAGCTGGGATTACAGGTTTGTACCACAGTTCTGCATGCTTTATGTTAATCTGAAGTCCATTTTCCCTAGAAATGTGCGTATTAACACTGTCCACTGCCTAATGCTATTAATGTTCTCAACGGTTTTAATCATAGGACCCCATCTTACTCAAACCCTAAGGACTCTGGTAGAGCAGGTGCCTAGCTAGCAGGCACATGTCCAGCACAGGGGACAAAATTAACAGTTCTGAAGGATCCTGATACCTAGAAAGTCAAACTTTATAAAATGTTCCTAGCTAAGACACTTAACTGTTTCAGGCCAGCCTGCTCCTTCCCAGATAGAATACTTTCAACAGCTGCTTTGTGTTAAAAGGTGAACCCTTCATGAAAAATCCCAGAGCAGAGCCATGATGTAGCTTGTGCAAACCAGTATGTGGCCCCAAAAGTTCACAAGATTCCATCTGTCTGTGCCAGTAGTGCTGTCACTTGTGACAGAATGACAGGAAAGAAAGCACTCTGACGCTGTGAGCTAGCACCAAAAGAACCTTGGGCCACATTTTGAGAAGCGCTCTGTCAGATGCAGACAAGCTCCACTGGCTGGGACCACTGAAGGACAGGGCGTGGCCTCATTTACCAAGAGGTGACTATTGCTGTAGAGGTCAGGTTTCCTAGGCTTGACCCTCTTTGGCCAGCACCCCAGAATGTGTATTAACAGCAAGGCTGGCATCGCATGCCCATGAGGGCCTAGCAGTGTCTAGAAGGCAAAGGGGATCTCAGTAGTGCTCAGGAGTTTGAGTATGGTACAGCACCATTACTCCTCTTATCTCCTAAACCTGTAGGACACACTTAAGACCTTTTGAAAAAAGTTCGTACAAAGTTCTGGAAGCTTGCAAAAACGGTGTGTGGAGGAAACTTGCTGCCACCGCTGCTGATATGCATGATTTTAAAGTTCTTCCCCCACCTCCAAAATACACTAGAATTTACTTCTATTAGTGCTGGGGATTGAACGAACATGGTATGCACATCTATACCTCTGTACCCCGACACCCTATGATTGTGATCAAACTGATACTGTGTATATTTTTATTACTGCATTGGGACAAAGTTTTCAGTCATGTTTTATAAGTCGCTTTGAAGACCCTGACACATCCTGTAAGATTCTGTGTCCGGGGCTGAGGATGCAGCTCAGGTATAGAGCACCTGAGTACAAGGTGGCCCTGGGCTTGACCCCCAAGACTGGGAAAATCATGTTTCCCTATCAAGTGCCGGGAGAGTAGACCGTGGGTTTCTAGGAAGGAGGGGCCATGTTTATATTCTTAGCACCAGCACCTGTACTGGGTGCTGTACTGGAGACTTATTAAGTTACCAAAACACATTCCATACAAGTTGGTCTCCACATGAAGTCACTATCCAAAGTGCAGGCCTGTAGTCTGGCCCTTGTTGGTGCCTGATTTTAAAAAGGTCTAAGCTAGGCGCTGGTGGCTCACACCTGTAATCCTAGCTACTCAGGAGGCTGAGATCTGAGGATTGCAGTTCAAAGCCAGCCCGGGCAGAAAAATCCATGAGACTGTTTATCTCCAATAAACCACCAGAAAACCAGAAGTGGCACTGTGGCTCAAGTGGTAGAGCGCTCGCCTTGAGCAGAGGCTCAGGGACAGAGCCCAAGCCCAGAGTTCAAGCACTAGGACTGGCAAAATAATAAAAATGTCTATGCTACTAACCAACACCCATTTCCCCAAGACGTAGGTGCTGATCACACCCTTTGTCAAGACAGTGGCAGTGTCAGTTCATCACAAGACCAGCGAGTCAACCTTCCACGTGGGCCGCCTCCAAACTCTGGCAAACGTTCCAGTGGCGGTCTTGCAGGTAATGTTGGCTTCTGGCAGATTTCAAGGATCAGCTGGGGTTTCTCCAGTGAATTCATCAGTTCTATTCGGGAAAACAAGGCTTTTGTGAAAGGGTCACATTAAGCCAGTCTGATCTATTTTTCCTTTTGTGGTGCTCTTCCACTGACCTGCATTCCCAACCCCTCCAATCTTTTAGTCACGCGAGTATTCAGCTGTTTGCTTCCTGGTTCAGTTTTGCACTGGTGAGGACTTGAGACTCAAAAATCTCCAATTGGCCTTTGTTTTTGGCTTCCCTCCCCCAGATCACATTTTCATTGGGCCCTGTGACCTGTGTCTGCCTTACCCCTGGTTTTCATACCCATATTCCTAGCTACTCAGGAGGCTGAGAGCTGAGGATTGCAGTTCAAAGCAGGCCCAGATAAGAAAGTCAGTGCGATCCTTTTCTCCAGTTAACCACCAGAAAGTGGAACTGTGACTCAGAACTGAAAAAGCTCAGGGACAATGCCCACGCTGAGTTCAAGGCCCACAACTCTCTCTCTCTCTCTCTCTCTCTCTCTCTCTCTCTCTCTCTCTCTCTCTCTCACACACACACACACACATTGTATTATTGCAAAAAGCTCTTATGGTGGGTTTTGTGTGCAGAACAGTGGAGCGCTGAGTTCATTTTACTGCTGGCCTGCTGTGTCAAACTCCAGCCCCTTGTGTGGTGTGGCGTCTCCCAGCCAGAGGGCTGCTTGTGGTGTTGGGTTTTTAGCCTTTGTTCCTTTTTCCACTCCTCCCCTGAATGCCATGCCACAGGGCCCCACACCACACCTGTACTCCTGAGGAGGGCGAGGTCACTGCCGTGTCCGGCTGTGACGGCTGCTTAGCTGCCGACGTGACATCGTGACGGTGGCCTCACCTGAAGCGCCACGATGTTGGCACTGCAGTTGCTCGGGTGTAGGAGGCGTGAGTGCGTGTCTTGGTTAAGAAGAGTTCTGACATCTGGCGTGGTTGCAGGCCTGACTCCCTCCGATGCTCAGAGGCTCTGAGCCAGCCTCCAGAGCTCGGGGTTCAAGCTGGAATGCAAGGTGACAGAGGAGCAGCAGCCGTGGGCTCTTTTGCGGTACTTGTCTGAATAGTGGGGCAGCGCTAATGGAAGCCTGATCAAAAGATGCATTTGGCAGTTCTGTGACCCCAAAAGCTAGGGATGTCTGCGCATCTGGCGCTTTACAAGCAATGTAGCAAGACTTGGTGCGCCAGAGGGGAACGTGCTAAGACCAGAGAGGCTTAGCTGCTGAGGCAGCTGTGCAAATAACCTGAGAATACTTTCAAGGCAAATCAAGCTGGGAGCTGGCGGCTCGCACCTGCAATCCCGGCCTCCTTCGGGAAGCTGAGGTTGCTGGGATCTCGGGACAGAGCCAGACTGGCAAGAACAAAAAGACCCCTTCTCAAGGAACAGTGGGACATCGTGGCACACGTTTTGGCAGGAAGTAAGAGCTTATCAAAAGTGAGGGGGAAATCCGAGCGTGTGGGCCTCACGCAAGGACGGAGCTCAGGGAGGGTGTGCGCTCCCTCGGAACGACTGCGCGGCGTGTTCCTTCCGGTGAGCTCGCAACCTCGAGCTGAACGGGCCGAGCACGGCCGGCCCTCCCTGGGTGAAGGGGCCGTGCCGTCCCCCCTCCCTGGGTGAAGTGGCCGTGCCGTCCCCCCTCCCTGGGTGAAGTGGCCGTGCCGTCCCCCCTCCCTGGGTGAAGTGGCCGTGCCGTCCCGGGTGCAGAGCTGAGGCAGGCCGGCTGCGGGCGGGCGCCTACCCGCTCGGGCGCTATGGAATCCCTCACAGAACCCCAAGGCGGCGCCCTCAGGAGGCGCGAGCCAGGGCGAGGCTCTGCGGCTGCAGCAGAGCTAGCTGCGCCCGAGCCCGCCCTGCCGTTTTTCCCTCAGGACGCAGCAGGCTCCCGTTTCCCACGGAAGGTGAAGCCAGGCTGCCGCCCGCCGCCGCCTGTGCGAGCCCAGCCCGTCGCTGGTTCTGGCCAGCCGCGGTGGGCGCGGGCACCGACGCCAGGCTTCTGTGGCAGGCTCCCGGCGGTGGGTGTGGTGCTGTCTAGATCCACCAGTGAAGAGCTGGATCCGAGTGACCTGGACCCCACAGGCCTGCGGGTGCGGCCGCGCCTGGCCTGCCACTCAGCGCGCGGCCTGCGGGCCTGGCTCGGTCGCCGCCCGTAGGTTCCGGCTCTTGGGCTCTGTGGCCCGGGGCTTTGCACACTGTGCACGCCGCCTGCGCGGAGCCCCCAGCGTCCGGCCCGCGCCGTGCAGGCGGTCCGCCCTGGCGCTGATGTGCCGTCGGGAGGCGCTGCCAGGCGCCGCCCTGCACCTCCTCCGCGGAGGCCGTCCTCACGCCCGCCCCTGCTCGAGGCCTGGCGCTTCCTGGGGCGAAGCCGCGGGGTCGCCGTGGCCTCGGCCCCGGAGGAAGGCACGCTTTATTGCAGCCCTGAGAAGAGCATCGCTGGTGAAGGGAGCGGCGCGGCGCGGCGGCAGGAGCC